AGCTGCGACCAGCGCGCCGCCTGAAACATCATCAAAACCTGCTCTGAAAACCAAAGATACGGGGCATGAAAACGAGCAGACCGCTTGAAACATCCCCACAAACTGGCCGCGAACGGGCCCGTGCAAGCACCCCTGGCGGCTCCCCGTAGGGGTGCTGAAACCAGCGCCCCGCCTCAGCCCTCCTCAAAATCTGCTCCGAAAGCCAAGGGCGTCAGGCATGAAAACGGGCAAACCGCCTGAGACACCCCCGCAAATTGGCCACGAAGACGCCCGTGAAAACACCCCTGGCGGTTCCCCGTAGGGGTGCTGAAACAAGCGCCCCGCCTGAGACACCCTCAGAATCCGCTCTGAAAACCAAGGATGTTGGGCATGAGCACAAGCAAACCGCCCGACACATCCCCACAAACTGGCCGCGAACGAGCCCGTGGAAACACACCCGGCGGCTCCCCCTAGGGGTGCTGAAACCAGCGCCCCGCCTGGGACATCTTCGAAATCTGCTCTGAAAGCCAGAGTGTTGGGAATGAAAACGAGCAAACCGCCTGAGACATCCCAGCAAACTGGGCGCGAACGGGCCCGTGAAAAAAAACCCGGCGGCCCCCCGTAGGGGCGCTGACCAGCGCCCCGCCTGAGACCTCCTCAAAATCTGTTCTGAAAGCGAAGGATGTTGGGCATGGCGCGAGCAAGCCGCCTGAAACATCCCCGCGAACTGGCCGCGAACGGGCCCGTGCCAACACCCCTGGCGGCGCCGCTTAGGGGCGCTGAAACCAGGGCCCCGCCTGAGACCCGCCTGAATATGAGTAAGTCGGTGCATGGGTAAGTTTGTGCATGTGCACGTCTGGGTATGAGTAAGTCTGAGTATGAGTAGGTCTCAGTGTAAGTAAGTCTGTGCGTGAGTAAGTCTGGACATGAGGAAGTCTCGCATGAGGAGACGAGAATAGGAGGGGGCGAAAAGAGGAAGGAAAAGGAGTAGGAGGCGCCCAAGTAGTTTATACATATATATATATATATATATATATATATAACCATCTTAGGACATGGGCAATAACCTCGCCCGCCGACTGGACCTATGCCGCGAATTCCGCGGACCTCATCAGACTGCGCGGGGGGCGGCAGGAAGCTGCGAGCTCCTCGCGAGGGCGGAAGGCGGCCGCCTCGCTGCCCCCGCAAAAACCAGCCCGGGGATGCGCTGCTCCCCCCAAGCCCTGGGGCTGTCATGAGCCCGTCGGGCAACGCCCCGGCCGCGCCCCCGCGGCCTCGGCCGCCCGCGCGTCTGCCGCCCTCGGCCTTGCCCGGCGCCGCGGTCACCCCCTCGGGCGCCCCCCTCAGGATCTGGGCTTTGTTCCGCGCCCGATCCGCCTCGCGCTGCCCCTTGGCCCGACGCTGCGCGCAGCCCCGCAGGCCGGGGCCCGACGCGTCCTCGATCGAGGCGACGCCAACGACGAAGCGGACATTCTCCCAGCCCGGCTCGCTGGGGCCAGCGCAGCGTAGGCGCCCGCGACCGCGGCCAGCCGCCGCGCGATGACCTCTACCAGTATCAGCCCTCCCATGCTGAGCTGGTCGTACACCCCCCTGGCACAGCGCCCCCGCCAGCGCCTCGAGCTCGTGCGACGCCCGGCCGTTGGCGCCGAGCCCCGCCATGCGGCTGGAGAGCTGTGGCCAGAGACGAGGGTCGCCACCCTTTTTCTCCACGCGCTTGCACATGCGCAGAGCACCTGGCGGCCCCTCGACGGGCGCGTCGGTGTAGCGCTCCTGCTGTGACTGTCGCATCACATCGCCAGCGCTTGTGACTCTCCCTTTGGGCGTCGTAGCCCAACCAGAGGGCCCGCGCGCCCTCGCGCTCCTCCTCCCCATTGTCGTCGCGAGCGGCGCGCGCCCTCGACCTTTCCTCAGAAGCGGCCGTGCCTCCGACCTCGTCCTCGAGCGCGGGCGGCCCCCGAGGGGGCGTGTCTGTTGCGCGTCGAAGGGGCTCTCCTGGGCCCGGTCCTCGTCCGCCTGGCGGCGCCGCCACAGCGCCCCATCTGCCGCCGCCCGGCCGGGCGCCTGGGCAGCCTCGACCCTCGCAAATCGCGCCATGTGGCCCTCCTCGATCATCATCGCCCCGATAAGCTCGGGGCCGTTCTTGAAAGAAACCCCGATGGCGCCGGTCGATCGCCAAGCCGGGGCCCCCGCCGACGGTCAGCCACGTCTCGCGGGGGTCGACAGCCTGCCGCCCATCTTCGACGCCGTCTGGCCGAGGCGCAGCGGCGTCGCACGGTCCGAGGCCGTCAGCGAGCCCGCCGCCTCGCCCCAGGGGGCCGCCCGCGGGTTCCTCCAGCTCGGCGTTATCCTTGAGCGCCGCCTGCCGACCCTTCTGGAGGGCGTCCGCCACCTCATCTGGTCCAAGCGCCTCCTTGGACCGATACAGCGTCCGCATCTTGCGGGTCCTGATGGCCAGCGGGAATACCTTCGCCGGCCCAGTGTCAGGGTCGGCGCCGCCGAAGGTCCTCCGGATAGATTTGCCCATCGGGAGTCAGCACCACCCAAAACCATCCAGCGACGGGGTGCAGCAGCACGCACTCGTGGTCCACCTCATCGTCCGAGTAGCGGCAGACACCGCGTGCTCTCGATGCAACGCCTTAGTCCACCACTCCCGCCCCGCGGCGCCGCGGAGCCACGCGGTAACCGACGTCATGGCGCCTGTTCACCACCTCTGTCACCGCCAAAGACCGCGCTGAGCAGCTTGTCGACCGCCTGCCCGCCCACCGAACGCTCGGCCGCACAAGCCACAAGCCGCCACCTCAAAGGAGGGGCACTCGCACGCTGGGCATGGCACGGCTTCGGGGCAGGGCGCGGCCTCGGGGTAGGAAGGGCAGGAAGGGCAGCCGAGGTCGTGGCAAGTCTGACCCCGCCGCCACCACGTCGCCGCCTCGACGGCAAGCACCGCCCACGCGGGCACCGCCGCGGCGCCGCCAGGGACGGCCACGTCCATCCGCTCACTCTGGAACGGAGAGGCCCACACCACAGTGCGGAGCCAATTGGCGACGACACATACTAATGAACTGAGGGCATCCCCAAGGTGCAAGCACGGACCATTGATTCCCTATGGGTTTTTTTAATGATGTTGGGGTCCTCGAGTTTTCGAGCTCCCAACGTTCCAAAACTGCCCAAGAGGCCACCAAGACCGCCCCAAGACGGCCCAACAAGCCCCCATGCAGGCCCCAACTCGGCCCAAGAGGGCGACAGGATGGCCCCAGAGGCGACCAAGAAGACCCAACAAAGCCCAAAGACAACCACAAAAGGGGCCAAAGAGACGGAAAACGAACCGAAGATCCGCGTTTTCCGCCCCAAGAGGCCCCCAGGAGGCCCCAGGGAGGCCCCAAGAGGCCCCCACGAGGCCGAAAGAGACCCCCAAGATGCCCCAAAGACGCCCCAGGAGGACCCAAAAGTAAACCCCAGAGGCATCAAAACAGCCGCGAAGAAGCCCCCGAGAGGCCTCCCGCGACATCTCAACAAGGAGCATCCCAGAAGCCTATGACCCACAACCCAGGCACGGTAGCCGGATGGGCCGAAGGCCTTTACATGAATGAAACCCCCTTACCCACCCGAGCAGCGACCGGCAACCAAGCAGAACCCCTGCCCCCCCCTTTTATCCCTGTCAAAAAAAACATACAACATGTCAGTTGCGGCGACAGTCATGAGTCATGCTCGGAGGACCCGCAAGCACTTCGTGTTCTTTGTTGACAGAGGCTGCGGGAGCGAGGGAGGACCACCATCCACGTCAGAAGACAATACAAAGTATGAATCATGCGCAGGCACCCCGAGATCAAATCGAATTGGTTTTTGACAGGGACGGTGGGGGTGCTGGCGTATTTCCTGCTGTGTGCAGACAGGCCTGCAAGACATCATGATGGCCGATACGACTTTCGACAAGGATAGAGGGGGCCGATATGCCTCCCGACGTGCGTGGGCGTACCTGTGCCACGTACGTGGCGCACCTGGCACGGCTGGAGCATGCTGCACACGTGGCACACTTGGAGCACGTGGTGCACCTGGCGCACCACCGTGCCTGGTACGCTTGGGCCTCAGGGGCGACTGGCGCGCATGGTGCGCGTGGCGCGCCTGGCTCGAAAGCTGGGCGAGGGCTGCTAAAACCGTGGCTGCTAAAACAGCCCTCCCGGAAGGAAAAAACAACCTCCCGGAATGAGGCGCGGCAGGCGAAACAGTCAACGAGCTTCTTCCCGGAAGGACGAAGACAACTTCCCGGAGGTCGATTTTAGCAACCACGGATTTAGCAGCCCTTGCCAGGCTTCCGACTGGCACGCGTGGCGCGCCTCGCCCCAGCGCCGCGCGCCTGCGGTCTGCATCGGTTCCCAGCAGCTGACCATCCAAAGACGACAACTGAATATAGTGAGACTCGGGTGCGACTGGTGTGTTGGGAGGGCTGGTGGGACTGAGCCAAACAGTTTGCGAACGGGAGAAGTGTTTTGACCCCTCCCCCATACGCCGCCAAGAGGCCCAACTTCGGCGGATGTCTGGGTTAAAGGCTTCTGCACTTCCAAGACTGAAGACGCCGATGTGCAGCACCCGTAGTGAAGCAGTGTTCTGGGCCCTTTAGCTCCCGACCTGGCCCCAAAGCACCGACACTGTCTGCCACCACCCGCCCATTGTTCCCAATAGTAGGCTCAGGCCAGCAGGAGGCGTGTCGAAAATCTTCTTGGCGGGAAGCCTTTATTATGATGCTGAGGGGGAACGTTGCGGGGGGGACCTGCTCAGGGGGGAACCATCGAGCTTGAATCGACGATAGATCGCCGATGGATCGGTGATAGGCCCTCGAGAGCGAATCCACACGTACCTGGGCGGGGCGTTCAGTCGGAACCATATCGGCGATAAACCGGCGATTGGGGGTCGATGCGTCCCCCCTTGGCAGACCCCCCTTCATTGCCCCTGAGATAGGCTCAAACCAATCGACGGTCTTTGTCAACAGACTGCTGAGCGGCAGGTGCGCGATGCGATGCGCGGGCCTGAAGGGGTGCAGGTACACCAGTGTGACCCGGTGCCCCCCGCCCTTGGGCTCGATCACCAGCGGCTCGCCCCAGCTGCCGGCGACCTGGGCCCTCCTCCTCATCCTGCTCCTGCTGCTCGCCCTTTTCCTCTGCCCGCGTGCGTCCTCATCCTCGTTCCTGCCCTAGTCCCCGTCCTCAGCTCCTCCTCCTCCTCCCCCTCCTCCTCCTTCTCATTCCTCCCCATCCCTCCACCTCCCTCCTCCTCCCTCCTGCTCCCTCCTCCTTTCCGTAGCCATTTTGGCTCAAGCCATTTGGGTTTGTGAGCCTGGCCGCGGCCCTTCCTTTCCCCTACTCCGTCTTGCGTGCTATGGCGTCGCTCGCCGATGTGCTCGCCGAAGTGCGTCGGCTTCCGGACCGGCGCGCGCTGAAGGAGTGGCTCATGAAGGAGGCAGTCTGTGCGGCAGCAGTGGCGGTTGTCCGTGGTCAGCCGCAGCATCCTGTCGTCAATGGTGAGGTGGTGAACAACAGCGTGCTTCTGCTCAAGGAGAGGCTCATGCGGGGGGCTGGGGAGGCTCTGGGGCTCCCTTCGGCGGCCTCTCCTGCAGCTCTGCGCGGCGCGCTCCTGCACAGGAACCAGAAGGAGCTCGCGACAAGGGCCGACGAGCTCCTCAAGGGGAGGCGCTATGCGGCACATCCTGAAGGCGACGAGTTCGTCCACGACGTGTGCGAGGCCCTGCGGCGCTCCGCAGTTGGTGAGCCCACGCCCAACTGCGTGCTGGAGCAGTCCGCGGAAGTGTTGGGCTACAAGATGGAACAGGAGTGCTTCACCATGTGGGACACCCTGCACGATGAAAAGCTACAAAACAAGTACGGGGACGAGAACACCTACGTCACGAACCCCGAAGCGATCGACCAGCCGTCGAAGCTCAAGGAGGAAGTGCTGGGCTTCAAGGGCCTGCCAGGAGTCAAGCACGACACCGAATCCGCGCAGATGGATGAGGAGAGCTTCACCATGCGCGACACACTGCACGAGGTGAAGCTCCAGAACAAGAAGAACGACCTTATGGCGGAGTTCATCACTCCCTCAAAGCCCATGCAGAAGGTGCTGGACGTCAATGCCGACACAGTGGCGGTCTCCTCGTTCATGGCGGACTCCTCCTCGGAGCTCAAGCCTTTCGAGTACGATGGGTCCGTCCACATGGAGCGCATCATGAAGGCGCAGCTTCTGAAGGAGTCCCAGAACACAAACGGCAAAGGTCAGTCCGACACCGCGGAGAGCAAGAAGGAGCCCAACAAGGGCAAGAGTAAGTCCTGCAACCTCTGCGCCACGTACGACCAGTACCGCAAGAGGGACGGAGGCAAGGGCAAGGACAAGGGCAAGTCCCCCTGACTGCCCTCGCCGCACGCGGGGGCTACGTATGTAGTTCTCGTAGTAACACCAGTGCGTCTGCTGTGAATTCCACTGTTTTTGTGGCTGTGGCCATCTTTCCAGCCCATAGCCTCGCCTGCAGCGCACGGGGGCCTCCCCTACAGAGGGTGCGGCCTATTGGGATCTAGGACGCCAGAGCCTAGCTCCTGTTGCCCTGGAGTAACAAATCCTCCCTCCTCCTCCCTCCTCCTCCTTCCTCCTCCTCCCTCCTCCTCCCTCCTCCTCCCTCCTCCTCCCTCTCCTCCCTCCTCTCCCTCCTCTTCCTCCTCCTCCCTCTCTCCCTCTCCTCCCTCCCCCCCTCTCCCCCTCCTCTCTCTCCGCCCTCTCCGCCCTCTCCGCCTTTCCTCCCTCTCCTCCCTCTCCTCCTCTCCTCCCTCGCCTCCCTCGCCCCTCGCCCTCGCCTCCCTCCGCCTCGCCTCCCTCGCCTCCCTCGCCTCCCTCCTCCCTCTCCTCCCTCTCCTCCGTTTCCTCCCTCCGTTTCCCCTCTCCCTCCCTCTCCTCCCCTCTCCTCTCCTCTCTCTCCCTCTCTCGTCTCCTCCCTCTCCTCCTCTCCTCCCTCTCTCCCTCTCTCCCTCTCCTCCCTCTCATCCCTCTCCTCCCTCTCTCCTCTCTCTCCTCCCCCTCCCTCTCCTCCTCTCCTCCCTTCCTCCCTCTCCCTCCCTCCTCTCTCTCTCCTCCACATCCTCCCTTCCTCCCTTCCTCCCTCCTCCTCCTCTCCTCCTCTCCGCTCTCCCTCCTCCCCTCTCCTCCCTCTCCTCCCTCTCCTCCTCTCCTCCCGCCTCCTCCCTCTCTCTCTCTCCTCCTCTCTCCCTCCTCGTCCCTCCTCCTCTCCTCTCCCTCCTCCCTCCTCTCCCTCTTCTTCCTCCTCTCCGCCCTCTCCCTACTCTCCCTCTCTCCTCTTCTCCCTCTCTCCCTCTCCTGCCCCTCTCCTCCTCCTCCTCCTCTCCCTCCTCCTCCTCCTCCACCTCCTCCTCCGCCTCCTCCTCCTCCTCCCTCCTCCCTCCTCCTCCTGCTCCTCCCTCCTCTCTCCTCCTCCGCCTCTTCCGCCTCCTCCGCCTCGCCGGCTCCTCCGCCTCCTCGCTTCCTCCTCCTCCTCCTCCTCCTCCTCCTCCTCCTCCTCCTCCCCATCCTCCTCCTGCTCCTCATATTCCTCCTCCTCATTCTTCCCCTCCTCCTCTCCACCCTTGCCTTGGCATTCGTTCCCGTCATCGCCCTCGAGCATCGTCTTCTAATCCAGAAGTACTAACCATGCAGCCCATGTGAAAGTCCTGGCAGCAGCCAATAGGGGCGGGGAACATGATCCTGGCGAAGAGCCCAACCATGTGCAGCTGTGAGTGCCGTCGTTGCGGGTATCACCTTTAGGGGATCTATTCATGAGGCCATGAAGCATGCGAAGAGTGTGTCGGTATGGGGCGGGACCGCCATGTGCGGCCACGAACTGTTTTACTGAGTGGGACGGGGCGCATGCGAACACCGCCAGTGCGGCCTTCGGTGAAACTCCTATGAGGCCACGAAGCGCGGGGCACGAAAGGCTGTAATGGGCTGGGGAGGCGCATGCGAATACCGCCACTGCGGCATTCGGTGGAACTCCGATGTGGCCCCGAAGCCCTGTGCTGGATGGGAGAGACGCGTGCGACCACTGCCACTGGCGCCTTCGGTGGAGTTCCCTATGGGGCCACGAAAGTGTGAGAGGTGTGCCAAAGTGGATGGGGGGCGGCATGTGAACGCAGCCACTGGGGCTTTCGGTGGGATTCCCTATGGAGCCGCGACAATGTGCCAAAAACGGAGGGGTCCGACATGCGAATCATGCTACTGGGGCCTTCGGTGGAGCTCCCTATGGAACCACGAAACGTGTGAGGAGTATGCCAAATTGGAGGGGCTGATATGCGAATCATGCTACTGGGGCCTTCGGTGGAGCTCCCCATGGGGCCACGAAACGTGTGAGGAGTATGCCAAAGTGGAGGGGGGCGATCTGCGAATCATGTTACTGGGGCCTTCGTTGGAGCTCCCCATGGGGCCACGAAACTTGTGAGGAGTATGCCAAAGTGGAGGGAGCAATATGCGAATCATGCTCCTGGGGCCTTCGGTGGTGCTCCCCATGGGGCCACGAAACGTGTGAGGAGTATGCCAAAGTGGAGGGGGCGATATGCGAATCATGCTACTGAGGCATTCGGTGGAGCTCCCCATGGGGCCACGAAGCGTGTGAGGAGTATGCCAAAGTGGAGGGGGGCGGTCTGCGAATCATGCTACTGGGGCCTCCGGTGGAGCTCCCTATGGGCCACGAAGCGCGCGAAAGGTGTTCCGAAGTAGAGGGGGCGGCATGCGAGTCATTCCACCAGGACGTTCGGTGGAACTCCCTATGGGGCCACGAAGCGCCATGCTGACTGGGGCAAACGCATGCGAACGCCGCCGCTGGGACTTTCGGTTAAACTTCCTATGGGGCCACGAAGCGCTGCGCTGGGTGGGGGAAACGTATGCGAATCATGCCACTGGGGGCCGTCGGTGGAGCTCATCATGGGGCCACGAAGCATGTGAAGGGTGTGGCACAGTGGAGGGGGGGCGTCATGCGAATCGTGCCACTGGGCCTTCGAGGGAACTCACAATGGGGCCACGAATCGTGTTGTGAGCGGTGTGCCAAACAGGGAAGGGGGGCGGCATGCGAATCATGCCACTGTGGCCTTCGGTGGAAATCACAATGGGGCCACGAATCGTGTGAGGGGTGTGCACCACTGGACGGGGGGGCGGCATGAGAATCATGCCATTGGGGCTTTCGGTGGAGCTCCCGATGGGGCCATGGAACGTGTGAACGAACGAACGAACTTCGACTGCGGAGAGTTGTCTGGCCTTAATGACTCAAGACCTGGTGGGGGGGGGCGTGGCCTCCTGAAACCTGCACACATGGACTGCACGCAAGCATGCGTACGATCAGCGAAACAATAAAACACGATGACGGAAGAGGGGCGGACGAGAGGAAATCCTGGACGATCCTGGGACCGCGGGACTCCTCTCGGTTTTTTTTGTCGCTTCCTCATATTCATCCTTTTCCTCGATGTTTTTTTCGTCCTCCCTCCTGCGCCTCCTCCTCCTCCTTTTCCTCCTCCTCCTCCTCCTCCTCCTCCTCCTCCTCCTCCTCCTCCTCCTCCTCTCTCTCCCCTCCTCGCGCGCGTCGGGCGGAGGCGCGGCCGGCGACCCGAAGCACGGCCCGCGCCACCGCCGCCGCCGCTGCCGCCGCCGTTGTCGTCGTCGTCGTCGTCGCCGTCGTCCTCGTCGTCGTCGTCGACGAAGAAGAAGAAAAATGGCTGGAAAAATCCGCGAGGAAGGAGGCCGCAGAGCCGAGAAGATCATTAAATCCGCAGCCCACCGGATCGACGGCACTGGCCGGAGAACATTACAATAAAACACGATGACGGAAGAGGGAGGGACGGGAGAAAGTCCTGGATGTGGATGTCGGCGTGCTGTCGTTACGTGGGGTGTACGTATTGCCGTTCGAATGTCGACCAGGTCGGGGTGTCTTGAGCTGCGCGAATCCAGGTGAAGTCGCTCGGCTGCCCTTTTGTAGCCGGCGTGAGAATTGGATGCTGGTCGGGGCTGCTTTGATGGAAAAACTTGGCGACGTCGTCCTCCAAGCGTTTGCGCTGGCCGCCTTGCTGTCGCTGTCCGCGTTGGCGTGGATTC